ACTCCACTTCGAGCAATAGAACTATTAACAAAGCACTTATATACTAATAAAGGGCTGGCTTATCTAAAGCCAGTTGAGTAGCACTTGAAATGTTTTTGCTCTATGAAGCCTGATGTACTTATATGATTCTGTTTTCTTCAAGTTTGTATTTTGTTGGTCGAACGCACTTATTGTAAGTCGCTTTGGATAAAAGCGTCAGCTAAATGCAATGTAATGTAATGATCTCCCATGTACATCACACTCTGAAGAATGTAAGTTTTGCCAAACATTTATGGTCTCTGTGTAATCGTTAATACACTACTTTTTGTCATTATTATTATTATGATAAATAATGAAAACTGAAGCATGAATAACTTCTTTGCATGTTTGGATTGCCTGCCTGCAGGTGAAGGAATAACGAGCACAGTATGTGAGTCCACCATTGCAGCCCCCTCAGATCCTGCTGACTGCCCAGGCCCATCTGAGTCCACCATTGCAGTCCCCTCAGATCCTGCTGACTGCCCAGGCCCATCTGAGTCCAACATTGCAGTCCCCTCAGATCCTGCTGACTGGCCAGCACTGAGTGATACAGTGAGAAAAGCCATGTGAACATTACATTGAAATCATGGTCTGATACCAGATGGGAGAGTCGGATCAACAGCATAGAGGCTGTAAGGTATCAGGCTGCAGAAGTCAGAGATGCACTTCTAGAGGTGAGGGATAAAGCCACAGATGGAGTTGTAAAAATTGAGGCACAATCTTTGGCTGAAGAGGTTGGATCATACCGCTTTGCAATATGCACTGTGGTATGGTATGACATCCTGACCAACATCAAACATGTCAGCAAAATGTTGCAATCAGTGTCAATGCAGCTGGATATTGCTGTTGACCTCCTGAGAAAAACAGAAGTTTCTTTGGTCAGCTACAGAAGCAATCGATTTGCTTCTGCCCAAGCATCTGCCAAAAGACATCTGTGGCCAAATGAATGTGGAAGTTGTTCTCAAGCAGAAGAGGCTGAGAACAACCAAGAGACAGTTCTCCTATGAGTCCTCGGAGGAGCAAGTGAGTGATGCACTAAAGAAACTCGAAGTTTCTTTTTTCAATATGGTGGTGGATGTTTCCATTGCATCACTGCAGGAGAGATTCAAGGCCTTAGGTGAAGTAGAGGAAAAGTTTGGGGTGCTACTCAACTTCCCTGACCTGCCAAAGGAAGATCTGACAAAGCAGTGTGAAACACTCAGCAACACTCTGAGCTGGGGTGGACAGTCAGACCTGGATAAGAGGGAACTTGCACTGGAGATGCAGAATTTCCCAGCTTTGCCAAAAGCCAACATGACCACCCTGGAACTTCTGCCTTTCCTACAGGAGAAGAAAATGAACGAAGTGTATCCAAATATGTGGGTGGTCCTCAGGATCGCTGTCACTATTCCAGTGACAGTTGCTGCTGGGGAGAGGAGCTTCTCCAAATTGAAGCTCATTAAAACATACCTGAGGTCGTCAATGGCTCAAGAACGCCTCAATAGATTAGCTTTAATAAGCATCAATCGCGAGGTTTCGGGGCAAATATCATTTGACGATACAATAAATGAATTTACAGCAAGGAAGTCCAGACGTGTCCGACTTTAAGGATGTGAACTAATTAAAGGACACAATAACATAGCAGAGACTTGTTGTTCTGATTGCCTGTTTCATTTGATTTATAGTGTGTGTAATGTTGTTCATTATCTTAATTTATTTGCAATAACCTCAGTTGTAAGAGCTCCGTTGGCTATATTTGTGTCCACGTTTGCACTTTCTTTTCTTAAAGTTTTAAGAGAAGCTACTTTTGTTTGACGAGTGATTTTCATTTAATAACTACAATATTAATAATAAGGATAAAATAAATAAATACGTTACATTTATTTGTTATTGTCTGTGGGTTATTGGTTATGTTCACATACTTATTTGGTTATTAAAATGTAAACCGATCTTTTTCATATGGGTGTTTTAGAGTTGTACCTCCCATCAGGTCTCTAGTAATTGTGTGCTCAAAGTGCACCAGATTGAAGCATTTTACTTTAAAATGTTAAAAAAAAAATCTTTCCGGGGGGGCATATCCCCGGACCCCCCTAGAGGATGTGACATCCACCCCCCAATTAAAACATGTTCATACAAGGAATACATTTGAAACCTTTATGTATATTACCTATGTCAATAAGTTTCTGTTTTTGTAGTGTATTGGTCTTTTGTAGAGATTTTTCATTTATTCTTTATATATTCTATTGTGTATTGCTTGGAGAGGGGGGGCACCAAATCATAATCTCGCCTAGGGCACCAAAATGTCTAGGGCCGGCCCTGCACACACACCTACACACTGTACCACACACACACCTACACACTGTACGAGGAGCGATAATGGAGGAGCTATAACCGAGGAACCACCAGACCATCCTTCGATGAAATCCTCAGACACTCGCCCCGCCCCATTACTGTGTATCGCTCACTGATTGGACGAGACAGTGCATGCACTGATCTGATGCTTCTTGACATGAGAGCAGTTTCCCAGCGGAGTGAAGAAAATACATGAAACTCACGAGAGTCACTCCTCAGTTTAAATACTGTGTTTTGTTTCAATTCTTGTATCATTTAGTTACAAATATGTGATATATCTGAACAACAAAGTGGTCAAAAATCATTTTATTCATGATCGCTTTTTTCGTTTTACATTTTCATTTATTGTCAGTCATTAAGTGTGCTATTAAAATGATAATGTGCTACATATCCACACAAACAAACAAAGTGTGCAATCCAATGAATGTTAATCTAACTGGGTTTTGATAGATAATATATCTATTTTTCTTCTCTCAATTATTTTATTTCTATTGTGCACTCTAATCAATATTAATCAAACTATTGTTCGTTTATACATTTTAAGAATGGCGTTTATCTTTTTTGAGAATGAGTTCTTATCTTATTTTATTTATTGGGGTCTACAACAGATGATACAAATGTTTGTGTCAGTAAATGTGTAGGCGGGGGTGTTTGTGAAAACAACGGGGACAGAGCTGGCTGCTGTCAGACGATCAGCTGTGCAGTGTCATCACAAACGGACGTCGCTTCACGTGACGCTCCGGAGGAAAGGACGTCTCATTGCTCTTAAAACTCATTTCCCTGCTTCTCGTGGTTTCCTTGCGTCTCTCCATGCTTCCCTGGTGGGAGGGACTAGTCGCAGGGAAACGACGCAAGTGAGGGACGCAAGGAATCCATTTAACCGAAGTGAGAAGGGCCCCAGGTCACTACCGGAGGGTCGAGGAGTCGAAATTTGAGTATTGAGAAGCCTCTATGGTTGCCCTTCTGTTTATTCTCCGCGCTGGATTTAGCAGCAGAGGTGGGGTTTCGCTGGTCAACATGTCCGTTAAAGTTGAAAAGTGCCGGTCAAAGGTCTTATTTGTTATTTATTGAGCTTTAAAACAAATGCATAAAGACTCTATATTCTTTCACACACACATACGGGTATTGGGCCGAGGGCGACACCGTACTTCCGGTATCCGCGGTTTTACGCGAGGTGCAAGCAGGCCAAGGGTTTAGCCGTACACCGTCTAGGTGTTGCTAAGCTTCCTGTACTGAATATCATAGTCTATTGCCTTAATCAATATCTAGTCAACTCTAAAATACCACATATATGCAATGGCATGATAATATTATTGTGACAAGTGGGGTATTCACCTGGTGTTTCCAGAAATTAGACGGAGATGCAGCCAAAATCGACGAAGGCCACTTTCGAGGGTCGTTTTTCCATACATCTGCAGGCAGTCTGTAAGGGCAATCCGACAACCCACACAGCTCTAGTTTACGCTGGTAACGACCTAGAGCACACCCCTCAAGTCCAGAGATGTAATCCGAAGACATGCAGCGATTTCTTCGGTCGTTAATTCAGAAAAAAAACCTAGTGCGCTCTGCCTGGCTACGTTAGCTAGCTCTTTATATTTGCACTTCCAGGATATTTGCACCTCCATGAAAATGGCGTATTTTTATATATATGGCGCGTGTTGCATTGTGGGTAGCTCGTGACGTCACTGTGTGAAAGAATAATAATATGAATATTATAAGAATAATACACGGAGGACGGAGCCGCTCTTTTCCTCCCCCTCTCCTGACAGCCCGTCAGTATCCGTGGTCTCATGCAGCTGGCTGATCCAGTAATGAGTGACCCGACGGTAGAATTAAACATATCTATAACTAGTTCACAGTTTGAGAGGTAATTAAAATAGCTAAGGGTGATGATCTAACTTGTGTGTTTTTTGTTCCGCTCATCGCTCCATCACAGCGGGCGGAGCAGCAGGTGATCATGCAGAGCTGCGTGTCTCCTCTCCTGTCCGATTAGACTTCACTCGCGTTTATGTCCATATCGATCAAATCTAGCTGGAAGCTCCTGCTGGGTGCACTGTCCTGCGAGATACCAGGACCTGGCTCGAAACACTGGGGCTATTGCGTCATCGTTATCAGGAAATGATCGTTATAGGGCGTAGACACGGAGCCGTTTGGCCCCCCAGAGTGCTTCGTCCGCAGATCTACCCACCTTGGGACCCGTTATCGTTATCTGCGTTTCCCTGTCAGCGTCGTGTGGCCGAACCGTCTATCTGATAGAGAACTGTAGCGGATACGACCTTTATCGTCCTCGTGTGGCTGCAGCTAGTCTTAAAATATTCAGAAAATGAATGCCTTCACCAACTGTGTTGGATGTCTGTCTCACATATTTGCATAAGATACATTTCATTCAGTAAATATGATGTTTACATAGCACCAAATGTCAAAACAGAACTCAAACCTCTGCCAACAGCATGTTAATGTCAAGCTATACCGGTTCCACGTCAGATTTTTCCCAAACATCCATCAGTCCTTCCTTCCTTGCCTGAAGACCAACATTGCCACAAGTGTTTTTACAAATTGATCTACATTTTTGAGATATCCTCCCAAGAGACAGACGGACTGCCGGATGGAAAGAGGCAACAAAACCAGATAAAAAAGCAAAGTTATCTCACCTGTGAAGCCGTGGGGGCACTTGCAGGTGTATCGTGGAGGAGAGGATGGCTGACTTGTTGCGATGCATGTTGCTCCATTCAAACAGCTGTTTGGCTTTATCAGGCAGGCATCGCCTACATATTGACAAAACTCTCCAATCCATCCTGGGGCACAAACACACTGCAGGAAAACAACACACTATTTGTTTGGGTATGTTAGAGCAGAGATTTGTTTTCCATTGATTTTTCTTCTTCTACCTGAGCACACTGGATTTCAAATTAAACAATGACCATGAGGATTACATTGTTGACTCTGTTTTAAGGATGTTTGGTGGGTGAAAAGTGTGGAAATGTAGTTTATTTTCACCCTTGAGCTGCATGAATTACGAAGAAAACATTTTGCACAGTGTTCATCTGATGGGGTTGTAAACATCAGCGGCAGTTTAGACAAACTGACATTTTTGTTTGAGTTATGGTTTAAGTGGCTTTGATGTTCAGGTGTTGTCTTTTGTATTTGTATTTGGGTGAACTGACATTTTTTTTGCTAGAAATCTGCACTTTGCCCTAAGACATGTTTACGTTTGGTTTGCTGGAGTACAAATGCAAAGCATAGCAGTCAAAATACAAATCCAAAAGAACTGTTCTACACTATATTTACAAATATTAAATCCATTTGATCCAAACTCTGGTTTTATTCCGTCTGTAAAGAGCCTCTCTTTTACCGAGCAAATAAATGAGCATGCTGCATTTAATGAACTACCCAATGGTTTTTCATAAGGTAAAATCACTTCAGAAATATACAAAACAAAACAAATTAAACATTTAAAAATGGCCTATGTGCAGCGAACATAATTGTTTTGCTTTTGTCCGACCCTGGTTTAAGGAGCACAAATAGGCAGTGCTGAAAAGTGCTTTAGATGAGGAACATTCTCAATGGCCTAATGGAACACGACTGATGGGGAATAATTAGGAGCTATGGGGCATTAGGAGCGGTCTCAGGTGTTGTAAAAAACACAGACATTGGAGGAGACTGAGCAATAGAAAGGCAAATTAGACCAGAAGCTGTCTGTTGGAGCAATACGTCTACATACTCACAGTGATCAATGGGTATGAATTGGATTACTGCTGTCTGGAGATATTTTCTATTAGTGAAGTAATTCTCTTTGTTTTTCTCAGAGGCAATAAATAGACCATTTCTATCCTTGTGAAATCTGTAGTTTATATTTGTATTTAATTAAAGAGAAAAAAAATCATAACATACTGTCGGTTAGCATTTGCCAGTAAATCATCTAATTTAAGGATAGATGCATCTAGAAAAGAATATCACTTTATACATTATATACGCTATGTCCCTCTATCTTTATTCACTTTGTTCACTTCATGTTCATACTGTTTTTTGGTGCAGCATGAGTCATATTTTGCGGCCGACAGAGTATTTCATTTAGACTGTAACATTGAATTACTTACCTGATACCTGCCAATTACACTCAAGCACAATCCCTCATTCAGGCAGTTGATATTGAGCAGCCTGCAGTAGTCAATTATTTCTTCACAATTCTTCCCGGAAAACCCACTCAGACATCTGTTAAGAGGAGGTCAGTGTCATCGGATCAATTCAGCCAAAGCCTTTAACACTAACAAGCCATATGTGTTTCTTTTACAAGATTTATTGGGCCATAATTTTGTTTTCTACATGACCTGTTTGTGATACAAACGTGGGTGATTTATTAACTGCAAATAGTTTTTTTATTTTGTATGACCTGGAAGGCCAAAAATAGTGGAGTTCGGATATCAACACAAATTAACACGAAAATAAATTATAAATAACAGATTATACTTCGCTACAGCTGAATAAATCCCCCTTCATATTTTGCTGATACTGTCTTATATAGAAATGTACCCATAACTTGATTTACATTCTTGTAACTTTAATACAGTGTTTCTTTGATTTGTATTATATTCAAGAGAATAAAGAGTGGTTATAATGAAGAAAAACACAATTGTCAAATGTATTATTTTGGAGCCTCCATCACAATTTGTGTGACATAAAACTAATTAGTCTGTGATCTTTTACAGTATAATGTCTGGATTTAAAAGACATCAAATGCGGAAACCTCAAAAGAATAGTTAAATTAAATAACCAAAAACATGTCTAACTTGTCTGTAAGAAAATGAAAATGTTTTTTATTTAAAGGTGAAGATGTCATTATACTTTATACATATTTGGTGTGCAAGTCGGTATTAGGCTCCAAAAAGGTGTATGTAGGATTGATAAAAGATAACAGCCGTCATGTTAAGGTTAACAAAGCATCCAGCGTATGAGTGTGGTTCTGAAGTCTTTTTTTATTAATGTTAGAGGAAAATGACATGGAGAAATAAGCTACACCGGCTCTGCAGACAATACTGTGAGTGAGATCAATTAATTGTATGTTGTGGTCTTCACATACAATGCATTAACAATAAGCCAACATTGAGGCTTAAGGTCTGCCAGAAAGGTTTGTTATAGTCCTAGAGCTCTTAATTACAATGTAATTATAATCACAATTCAGTGTAGAAAATGGAGAAAAAGGACTAATTTGTGTCAACTCTTAGAGGGAAATATTCACATGACCTTCCAGGCATCCGGAAAGGTAACAATAGGCCCAATTCCAAATCACACCCTACCCACTCCCACTCTGTGGCGGAGTGACACTCGCAGCTCAACGAAGCTCCCTCCTATCAGATGGGTGTAAATACAGCGGCAAGCTTTGGAACAAACTCCCCTCTCTCTGGCAGAAACAGGAAATGCTGTAACTGTACTGTATGTAACAACGGTTTCAAATCAGCATCTCTTTGACAAAAAATAAAATGAATAACTAAAATAAAACCCCAAACATCTTTAATTGTGTTACTTTTTTGTAAAGCTCTTTTAGTTTTAGACCTGATGTTTATAAGCTTCTTAGTTTTTGCAACAGTCTGTAAATATACACAACTTTATAATAAAATGCATAGGTATGACTAAACACAGGTATGATCCTAAGTAAATATAATATGAGGTTATCATGAGGTTGTTAACATCGCAATTTATCAGTGAATGTTTGCTGGAACTGTTTGTACACAGCTTGTTTCCTGACGGGCACACACAGCATTGAGTCTGGTCAGGTAGGGCAGCAGGTGAAGTCAGCACCGATGCAGACTTGCTGTTTGAGGGCTTGATAACCCACTCCCCCTCCACACTCGTTGGTTTGGAACAGCACTTAATGTGGCGGACCCTCCGCGCGAACGCGCAATCGGCGGGGCAGTGTGTAGGGGTAGGATGTAGGGGGTGGATTGGAATTGGGCCAATGAAAGTGACCTCCACTCAATCTATGTTATGTTTTACCTGCAGAAATGCTCATTCCCCCTGGACACACAGGTGGCGTTGTTGAGACATGGTGAGGGGCTGCACAGGTTCTGAAGCCTCCTGCAGGCTGGGACCACAGAACCATCGCCACAGACACAATCAGAGGCCTACACACAGAGAGAGAAACACACCAAGTCTTCTGTCAGCTCGGAAAACTGAGTGATTACACAAACATGACATAAGATCACTAACTGCAAGAACATTATCAATAGAGCAATTCTTTGTGGGTAGAGTATCTTACCTTGATTAACTCACATTATTATTTGTTACTGATCTCTTCAATTATTTTTAATTGCATCTAAGTAGGCAAGTAAATAACACGTGTATGCTAATGGTGTCGTAATTCAAAGGTAAAGAGATTTTAACTTCATATTAAGCTTCTAGAAACATATGTAAGTCAGGCTGCAGAAATATCATCCATTATTTTTGATAAATGTCCCTTTTAGACTGCTCTACTCTAGTACTCCAAATGTGCTGTGAAAATATGCAGTGCACTTGACAAACAGTAATGAACAAAACAAAGGTCAGGGGAAGACAATTAAACCATTACTGTATTTTCTCTGGTGTATCCTTGAGAACATTAGAAACTCCACTGCCTTTGCAAAATGTATGACCGCAATGGCATTGCTAGTGAAAGGTGAAAATTGCAGCAGGCATCTAATTGCAAAAAGCTTTTGACGAGAGGCATTTCAAACTGGCACTTAAACATGCGCTGGGTCATTCAATCAAAATGCTAGAGGAAGCAAGCTCTCATTCCCTGAGCTCATCTTCAGGAGGAAATATTAATTGCTGTTGCAGCCTTCAAAATGAGGCTATTTGATCTTGTTTCAAGACACTATATTCATTTTCATATGTCATTTCTAGTTTATCTCCCACCGAGATAAAACCAATAGGGGGAAATTAAAATCCTCACACGCTCCCCTGCAGTGCAGAGTTGTTCCTCCTGACATGGGTGTAACATGCAATCGTAGAACACTCTGGATTCGCAGTTGACACCCCCAAATTTTTCAGGACAACGACAAACAAATCCTTCGGGGGTGGGCTGACAAACGCCGCCATTTCTGCATGGATTTGGATCACAGGGGCCTTTCCTCTTCTCACAGGGTGGGCCTGCAAGGAGGATACAAAATGACAGCATTTCTATTCAGATTGTGGTAACTGTATTTACACTTAAGATACTACATCGTGTCAAAGCCTGTCAACTGGTGTGGCCCTATCGATGTTTCCACATTCTACGTTTAAACCAAGTGGTTAACATCAAAGTCAAAGTCAACTGTATTGTCAATCTCCAAATATGTTTGTACACACAGAAAGATCGAAATACTGTTTCCCACAGTCCCGAGGTATAAAATAACACATTAAAATACAAGAAAACTCAATAATTACAAAAAAACACAAAATAACCGTTTACTTCAAGTAAGCAGGATATATATATAAAAAGGTGATGTACATAGTGCAAATGTGAGTGCAAAATAGTTTCATAGCAGTCTGTGTGAATGGGGGGGTTTTAAAGTCCCGGTCCAGTGGGGGTAGGGTGGGGGGGTGAGATAGAGGGGAGAAAGGGAGAGAGGGGAGATGTGGGAGGGGGGGAGGGAGTTCAGCCTCCTGACAGCCTGTGGAAGAAGCTGTAACATGGGAAGGAACATGGAGCAGTTTTGAAATGGCTTCAGAGCATTTCAAGTTTCCTGACATGACTCATAATCCTCAAAGGAAGGGATGACTGACGTGTTTTATCAATAATTACACAGGACGGAGGAATGTGGGTTCTAACAATCAACGTAAAAGCAATACCGAGTGTAAATAGCATCGTTGCCTTCAGAATTATATGGTGGCCTCTGATTGATGATCTACTATAGAGCCTAATTGACCATTCCGATAACATCCTACTTAAGCTAACAAACCACACCAACTGGAAAATAATCAATACCAGCCAGCAGTAGTTATCCAGCACATGGGGAAATACAGAAAAGATGAAAAACACTAACGAGGATAACTAGTTCTTTAGATCCTGTACATTGTTATGGTTGTGCAAGACAAGTCATTATTAGAGAAAAGTCATTCATTTTAACCTCAAGACACAAAATATCTAGTGAATAGGATGGCAAAAGTTCTGAAAAGCTAACAAAACAATGTTGGGATCATTTAAAAATGCATGGTTTTCGCAACACAGTCTCACTCCCTGATCGTCCAGTAGCGACGCTTGGTCAGGGTCCTTTGGCATGCAGTTGTGACACACCGAGTCTCCTTCAGCTTCATAAACGGACACAAAGAGCTTTCAACTGATTGCAATGCATCGGTCCATGTCAGCGACACTTAAAGGCAATGTGAGCGTTGTTAGAAATTAAAATCAATGTTGATATGGCGTAATTTGAATTAAATACACTAATTAATTTAAATTAATAATTTTATTCTGAAAAAAACGGAAGTTCACACTATTAACTTAACACTTTTATTCTGAAAATTCTTCACTTCCGGTTATTATTAGCATGTGGCGAAATGCTACGTTTTCAAACCGTGAATCGAAGGTGAAATGACATGTGATGTTGTACACTAAACACACTGGCTTTAACACTCTTTTATTGACGCTGAATAACGTTTATCAGGGAATGTTTAAATAACCACAGACACCAGAATGATGTAATTTAGCAACAGAAAAAGGCAGGAATTGCATTGGACCCACCCCCGACGACGCCGGCCAATAGGAGAAGACCTCAGATGAAAGGAAGAGCAAGCCAATAATAGAGAACCGCAGTGACGCGTCCTAAAACCCGGAAGTAAGTTAGCATTTTTACCACATCCGGTTCCTTCGATAAAAAGCAATGCAATTTCTCCATAGAATTTTGGAAAATAGCTCCAAATAAGGTCTGTGTTTGACACAAATTGAAGAGACAGATCACGTTTTGTTCTACGACATTAAATACATCAGCAGTGACCCCGCTGGTGATTTTTGAAGAGTTTACGTGTCTGAAAAACGATGGTTGTTAACAAGTGGCTGAATAGGACTACATAAATTGTCCAGGCCGTTTTACGTCATTACACCGAACACGTAAAACACTCCCGCTAAATTTGTTTGCCCTGTTCTGCTTGCAAGCAAGTCCTGCCTCCTGAAAACTGTTCAAACAAACACTTCAACTTGTACCATTTATAATCTGTATGTTTGAATATGGATCTTAAGTTGGCGTGACGTTGAAGCAGCTGTAGTTCCTTTATAGCATAACGCTCATTTTGCTTCTTACGACTAGATTTATGCTTCGAAAATTATAAAAGTAGGGTAGACATGTGGATATTATCCGGCTGAACAAAACGTGATCCGTCTCTTAAATGTGTGTCAACCACAGACCTTATTTCGAGCTATTTTCCAAAATCCTATGGAGAAATTGCATTGCGTTTTTGACGAAGGAACCGGAAGGAGTTTACATCCGGGTTTTAGGATGCGTCACTGCGGTTCTCTATTGATCTCTTCTACCTCCTGACATTGGGCCCTTCTCACTTCGGTTAAATGGAATTCTTGCGTCCCTCACTTGCGTCGTTTCCCTGTGACTAGTCCCTCCCACCAGGGAAGCATGGAGAGACGCAAGGAAACCATGAGAAGCAGGGAAATTAGTTTTAAGAGCAATGGGATGTCCTTTCCTCCGAAGCCTCACGTGAAGCGACGTCCGTTTGTCTGACAGCAGCTCTGTCCCCGTTATTTCCACACACACCCCCGCCTCTGTTAGTACACATTTACAGACACAAACATTTGTATCATCTGTTGTAGACCCAAATAAATAAAAATAAAATAAGAACTCATTCTCAAAAAAGATAAACCCTCTCCTAAAGAAACCCACTCTCAACCCGTCTGATGTTATAAACTACAGGCCTGTCTCTCTCCTCCCGTTCCTGTCTAAATCACTTGAACGCGCTGTCTTTAAACAACTCTCCTGTTATCTCAATCAGAACAACCTTCTGGATCCGCACCAGTCTGGTTTCAAGGCAGGTCACTCCACAGAAACTGCTCTCATTGCTGTCACGGAGGAACTGCACACTGCCAAAACTGCATCCCTCTCCTCTGTCATCATCCTATTGGACCTGTCTGCCGCATTCGACACGGTGAATCATCAGATCCTCCTTCGCACTCTCCAAAAACTTGGAGTTTCAGGCTCTGCACTTTCCCTCCTCACCTCATACCTGAAAGACCGTACCTACAGGGTGACTTGGAGAGGGTCTGAGTCCGACCCTTGTCAATTAACTACGGGGGTCCCTCAGGGCTCTGTTCTTGGTCCCCTCCTCTTCTCCGTGTACACAAACTCGCTCGGATCAGTCATTAGCCCGCATGGTTTTTCTTACCACTGCTACGCTGATGACACCCAATTAATTCTGTCCTTTCCCCGCTCAGAGACCCAGGTCGTTGCACGCATCTCTGCTTGTCTAGCTGACATCTCTCAGTGGATGTCTGCTCACCACCTCAAGCTCAACCTTGACAAGACTGAGCTGCTCTTCCTCCCGGGAAAAGATTGTCCCACTCTTGACCTAACAATCAACATCGGCACCTCAGTTGTTTCCCCGACTCAGACTGCAAGGAATCTGGGTGTGACCCTAGATAACAACCTGTCCTTCACTGCAAACATCGCTGCTACAACCCGTTGCTGCAGATACACGCTTTACAACATCAGGAAGATACGTCCCCAGCTGACTCAGAAAGCGACTCAGGTTCTGGTCCAGGCTCTCGTCATCTCACGCCTAGACTACTGCAACTCCCTCCTGGCTGGTCTACCTGCATGTGCCATCCGACCTCTGCAGCTCATCCAGAATGCAGCGGCTCGTCTGGTCTTCAACCTTCCTAAATTCTCCCACACCACTCCACTCCTCCGCTCCCTTCACTGGCTTCCGGTAACTGCTAGAATCCACTTCAAGACACTGGTACTTGCTTACCATGCTGCGAATGGATCTGGCCCTTCCTACATCCAGGACATGGTTAAACCGTACACCCCAGCGCGTGCACTACGCTCTGCATCAGCCAAACGACTCGTTGCGCCCTCGCTGCGAGGGGGACCCAAGTTCCCATCGGCGAAAACACGTGGGTTTGCTGTCCTGGCTCCAAGATGGTGGAATGAGCTCCCCATTGACATCAGGACGGCAGATAGCTTGCACATCTTCCGGCGCAAACTGAAAACTCATCTCTTTCGACTCCACTTCGAGCGTTAGAACTATTAACGAAGCACTTTTATACTAATAAAGGACTGGCTTACCTAAAGCCAGTTGAGTAGCACTTGAAATGTTTGGCACTATGAAACCTGATGTACTTATATGATTCTGTTTTCTTCAAGGTTGTGTCTTCCTGGTCGAATGTACTTATTGTAAGTCGCTTTGGATAAAAGCGTCAGCTAAATGCAATTTAATGTAATGTAATGTAATAAACGCCATTCTTAAAATGTATAAACGAACATTAGTTGGATTAATATTGATTAGAGTGCACAATAGAAATAAAATAATTGAGAGAAGAAAAAGAGATATGTTATCTATCAAAACCCAGTTAGATTAACATTCATTGGATTGCACACTTTGTTTGTTTGTGTGGATATGTAGCAAATTAACATTTTAAATAGCACTTAATGACTGACTGAATGGAAATGACAATAAATGAAAATGTAAAACGAAAAAAGCGATCATGAAAATGTTTCCAAAAAATGAATAAAATGATTTGTGACCACTTTGTTGTTCAGATATATCACATATTTGTAACTAAATGATACATTAATTGAAACAAAACACGGTATAAACTGAGGAGTGACTCCCGTGAGGTTCATGTATTTTCTTCACTCCGCTGGGAAACCGCTCTCATGTCAAGAAGCATCAGATCAGTGCATGCACTGCCTCGTCCAATCAGTGAGCGATACACAGTAAGGGGGCGGGGCGAGTGTCTGAGGATTTCATCGAAGGTTGGTCTGGTGGTTCCTCGGTTATAGCTCCTCCATTATCGCTCCTCGCTCCTCCGGCAAAAAATAAGGCCACTGGGACGCTACTCAAGATGGCGCAGACAAATCAACTTCCGGTGAGACCGAGACCGAGGAGCGAGGAAATGAAAAATAAGAGAAGTGAGAAGGGCCCCTGGGCTGACCGGACGCATGGGG